GTGGGCAAACTTTGGCCCTCCAGGTGTTTTGGACTTCAACTCCCTCAATTCCTAACAGCCTAGGTTCCTTTCCTTTCCCCCCTCTGACGCTTAAGCAGCTGCTAGTCTGTTGTGTCTAGCAGATCAAACTGCAAGAAAAAAAGAGATTCCACCTAAACATTAGGAAGAACATCCTGAAGGTAAGAGCTGTGCAGTCTCGGAACGTGACTGCTTAAAAGCCTCCTTCTCTGGAGGCTTTTAAGCAGAGGCTGGATGGCCATCTGTCAGGGGTGATTTGATTGTATGTTCCTGTATGGCAGGCGGTTGGATACTATGGCCCTTGGGGGCTCCTCCAACTTTGTGATTCTATTTAAAAAAATTATTAGTTCGAACTACTTTTTCTATTTTGTTTTTTTTTTTAAGGGAACATGCTTTCTTCTCCAAATAAACTTGAACCATCCAAATGTATGGGCCCTGCTTACTGCAAACATGTAATACACAAGTGGTCATTGTTATTCACTGGAAACCACCCTGAGTCCCTTCAGGGAAATAGGGTGGTTTACAAATATAATAATAATAATAATAATAATAATAATAATAATAATAATAATAATAATAATAATTTGAAGCACAACAAGATGAGTCCACAGCAGACACTGCTGACTGTTGAATTGGATCACAGGTTTATTATTATTATTATTATTATTATTATTATTATTACTACTACTACTACTACTAGAAACACAACACGATTCGTACACAGCACACTGTGTGATGTATTGGCGATTAATGTGTGCCGATCCCAGTAGGGTGGCCTTTTGCAGCTCACAGATTTTGTCAGTGCCGATTGTGTTTAAATGCAGGTCAGGCATGTAGCCGGGGGGGGGGGGGGGGCTTGAGGGGCTTCAGCCCCCCCCCCCAAATTCTCATGGTGGTTCGCGAAAAGGCCTTACTGGTGCATTATTTAAACTGTTATGTTTGTTCATATCATGATCTGATCACCATACTCAATATATCCCATATGCATGGGGGTATTGGTACAAAAGGTTTGCTAGGCTAGACCCTCTTTCACTCAGACTCAGCCCCCCCCCCGAAACTCAGCCCCCCCGAAACCCCCCCTGAAAAAATTTAGCCCCCCCCCCAAACGAAATCCTGGCTACGGGCCTGACTCTGGTGGTCTTTAGGCACTGTACCCAGTGTGCCGATCACCACTGGGACCACCTTGACTGGATTGTGCCAGAGTCTTTGCAGTTTTATCTTTAAATCCTAATATTGTGTCAGCTTTTCCAGTTGTTTCTCTTCAATCCTACTGTCGCCTAGGATTGCGATCCATATTTGGTTTTTTAACATGATTCGTGAGGTCAGGAGTATTGTGCTCCAAAACTCTGTCAGTCTGAATTTGGAAGTCCCAGAGTAGTTTGATGTGTTCATTTTCTGTAATTTTTTTCAGGCGTGTGATCCCACCAGTAGCAGTAGTAGTAGTAGTTCCTCCTCCACCACCACCTCTTCTACTTCTACTTCTTCTACCTCCTCCTCCTCTTCTTCTTCTGTTCAATTTCCAGTTGGGCCAATCCTGCCACAAGCTGTGCAAGTGCTCTGTACTTTACTCAAAAGCAATAAATCCTTCAGTAACCCACATCAGCAGATCTCTCGGCTTCCTTCCTTGTAGTCATTTCACTCCTCTTTTTACACATTCTGTGAAAAGGGCAGAGTCTAGTTTGCTTTGTCTTTCCCCCTTCCTTTTGCAGGAGAGGCTTTATTACAGGGTGTATTTAATTATACATGATTTAGCTACAGAAATGATTGAAGATCAAGCACACTAATCATATTGGGCAATCCCTACCACTAACCATGACTTGAGTCTGAATTTCCTACTCTTTGGTTCCTTTCATATCTACCTGAACTACCACTACAGAATCCTTTCAAACATTGTCAATTTAGTGTGTTTCTCTCTATGGTAAAGCTGATGCAGGTGGTAACACTTTTGCAAGGCAAAGGGTGGGTGGTTGGGGGGGAGGGGAGACATTCTTGCATTTGGCACAGAATTAAACAGGCACATTACAAACAAACCCCATTTCTTTAGAGATGTGAATGCTGGGAGAGATCGGTTTCATTACCCTGACAACAGCCCAACATGATCTTGGGAGTCAAGCATTAGTTCAATGAATACCTTTCAAGGGGATTGCCATCACAATGGAGATACAGACACTGCTCAGAATTGTGCTTCCTTTTTGTAACTGGATCCATAACAGGTTTGGGCTAACATTTGCCCTCTGCCTTCTTACTTCTCTCTCTTTTCCTCTTATCTTGAATTCTGAAATTGTCTACACAAGTGGCTGAGATAGTGACGTCTTTCCTCCCTGATGGTTCAATGCATACAAACTTTGTTTCGTGCACAAAATTATTAAAATATTGCATGTAATTATCTTTAGACTATGTATATATTTGGAACAAATGGATTTCATGTTTAGACATGGGGCCCATCTCCACAATATCTCATTAGGTGCATATATGAAAGTACAGCTATTCCAAAAATCCCAAAACTCCTATATCCAAAGCACCTTTAGCCCCAAGTCTTTTGGATAAGGGACAGTCAACCTGTACACAAAATTTTTCCGTTGTATCTTTTCTTCCTTCATTTTCTTGATATCTTTGATATGATAATGAACCCCCCCCCCCCCAGTGAATTTAACTGGAAATGAAAGGCAAGGCTTCCTGAAATCCTGTTTGGATTATTGTAATATTCTCTACATGAGGCTGCCTTGGGAAACTATTCCAAAAATGTGCTAACTGGAGCAGAAATTTGGTTTATTGTGTTTTAATTTTTGTACTAAGAGTCTTTTGTTTTAGTTGTATTATGTTTTCAAATGCTTGAATCTTGTGCTGAATAAAAATTGGGATTTATAAATAAATAAAACCAGGAGGATGGAGGAGGGAGACTAAAATGGTAAATGGCCTGGAAATGAAGCCTCATGAAGTATAACTTAAGAGTTCAGTAAGCGTAGGCTCTCCACAAGTAAACATTGATAGTGAAATACAACACCACCTGAGCTCTGTGAGTGCAGCATTTTTCTGAATGAAGCAAAGAGTGTTTGAGGACTGGCATATCCGTAGGGAGACCAAGGTGCTTGTTTATAAAGCTACTGTCCTCCCAACCCTGCTATATGCCAGCAAAACGTGGACTGTTTACAGACGTCACACTCAACTCCTGGAACAACTCCATCAGTGTTGCTTCCAAAAAAATCCTGCAAATCTCTTGGGAAGACTGGCGGACAAACTTCAGCATGCTGGAAGAAGCAAAGATCACCAGCACTGAAGTGATGCTCCTACGCCATCAACTGTGCTGGTCTGGCCACATGGTCCGAATGCCCAATCACCGTCTCCCAAAGCAGTTACTATACTCCCAACTCAAGCATGGGAAACTTAATGTTGGTGGACAGGAAAAGAGTTTTATAGATGGGTTTAAAGCTAACTTAAAAACTGTGGCATAGACACTGAGAACTGGGAAGCCTTGGCCCTTGAGTACTCTAGCTGGAGGTCAGCTGTGACCAGCAGTGCTGCAGAATTCGAAGAGGCACGAATGGAGGGCAAGAGGGAGATATGCGCCAAGAGGAAGGAGCATCAAGCCAATCCTAACCAGGACCGCATTCCACCTGGAAAACGATGCCCTCACTGCGGGAGAACATGTGAATCAAGAATAGGGCTCCACAGCCACCTACAGACCCGCTGCCAAGACACTACACTTGGAGGACCATCATCCTTGGGCTACGAGGGATTGCCTAAGTAAATAAGTAAGTAAGTAACAGAGAAAGAGATTCCACTCAAATATTAATAAAAACGTACTGACTGTAAGAATTATTCTAATATGCAAAAGAGAACCTCAGATGGTAGAAACTCATTCAAACAGTTTTTGAAGCAACTATCATCTTGTAGGAACCACTTGTAGAAGCAAACATGGATGCACTAGTTGTGTTTTTGTTGTCTGCAAGTTGACAAGACAGCCTTTATCTATGGCAATATTGGACACTTCAAAGAGAACCTCTCATCAACAGCTTTGCCCAGGTCCTTCAAACCCAGGGGCAGAAGTTTCCTTGATTGAGCCTATCTACCTGTAATGTAGTCTTTCCCATTTCCTTCTTCCTCCCACTTTAACAGGCTTTATTGCTATTTCTAGCGAGTCATGACATCCAATGATGGCCTCAGTTTGATCATTTGGGTTTCTAGGAAGAGTTCTGGATTGATTTGCTCTCAGACCTATTTGTCTATCTAACATTTAATGATCTCCACACCGCTCTTCTCCAATACCACATATTTAAAAGTTATTCTCAGTATTGGGCCACTTTCTTTTGTTGGGACCAAAAAAATCCACTCAAATACTGACATCTGCTATGTAACCTTGTAGTGCCAGCTTCCTGTTTTTGAAGAAGAGCAAAATATGCTCATTTCCATACACTTTTGATAAAAAATGTTTAACATTCCAAAAACACATTTGATTGTTCACAAAACTTTGCAGTAGGATGTGCACTTCGCCAGCAGCCTAGCCAAGAATTTCAACATTTTATGACAGCGCCCCTGTGTATGGGAGGTAACAAGCTATAGAGGAAAGAGGTCCGGCAGCTGAAATCACAACTGCCTGCTCTTTTTTTCTCACCTTTTGGATGGCTGTAGCTTCATGATGCTGACTGTCTAGAAAGCATTTCCCCTTGGATGTCCCTTGGGCACAGGTCTAGTGTGCTATTGTGCAACTGAACTAACACACCCACATATGCTGTAAATGCCCCTACATTAACTATAAAAAGATTTGAAAAGCTAATTTTGGAATGAACTCCTGGAACTTTTTGTCATCATGATTGGCCATATGAGTCTGAGTGTTGAAGTTAAACAATAACATGTCAAGAAGCCAGAACTCATTTAGTTTATTCGGCATGAAATATATTTCTTTTAATCAGCAAAGGTAGACATTTCTAATCAAACTTTGATTTAAAACCTGGGTGAAGGCCCAGTGTCATAAAGCTACTCACCAGACAGAGGATCTTTGCCAACTATCAAGACATTTGGCAAACTCATTATAATCAGTTGTTGGAGGACTTCCTAAAAAAAAAGAAAGGAAAACAAAATAATAAAAATGAATGCCATTTTCTGAACTTGTATTGCTTCACTAGTTATTAAATGTCTTTTGCCTAGAACAGTGGTTCTCGACCTGTGGATCCCCAGGTGTTTTGGCCTACAACTCCCAGAAATCCCAGCCAGTTTACCAGCTGTTTCTTTCTGACCCACCCTAGTACATTGATAATACATTAAACATGGAGACACCATGATAATCCACAAGTGATTGTTTGTTCATTTGGATTACCAAATTCCCCATAAATACATATATAACACATCAATGTGGAGATGAGACTGAAAGAAACAATATACATTTTGTAAGGAAACTTCTAGGTGTGGTATCTTGTGTGCTAAGGCAGGTGCACAATAAGGATGTTGCAGAAAAGTGACATTGTTGCTTTATAAGATTTAGTTAAACTACTACTTTAAAAGAAATATAGTTACATTTTTGCCTTCTATTAGCTTCCATCACTCTTTACCCGTTCATTGAGTTTATTCTTCCAGTACTTCCCTCTAGGCTAAGCTGTGGCTTACTTCATCCATTTTATGTCTTCATCCTTTCTCCATATAGTATCCCCTTCCCTTCAATACATCTGCCTTCCCATCTTTTCTTCCCTTGATGTTTTACTTCAAAATACACTCTAATCAGTGTGTCTTCTTTCTTCTACTCATAGAATCATAGTTGGAAGAGACCTCATGGGCCACCCAGTCCAACACCCTGCCTAGAAGTATCTTGTTAGGAATTGTGGGAGTTGGAGTCCAAAACACCTGGAGGGCCAAACTTTGCCTATGGCTGCTCTAAAATGTTCATTGAGAAAGCCTTGTTGCTGCAATCTCATGCAGAAAGTAACTTGGAACACCCACATTTGTAGGTGTTGTTTCCTGTTCCTCGAGTCTGATGAACAGTAGTTATTTTTCAGTTATTCAGTTAACACGTGTCAAAGATTTCAAACCATATGAAGGGGAATTGCGAATAGTACACATATACGAGGTCTTACACCATAGACCTTGTTTTCCTCCTGTACTATGTGGAATAGACAGCCACATTTTTCTGCACACATTATTATGGGAGAAGTAAAAACACTCAAATCAAGTCATGAAGCAATGAGTCCTCCCCCATTTAAACATGGCTAGTCAAGGTCAATTAGGGTCAGAAGGCTAAAGAACCAACATTTGCTTAACAGACTTGCTTTAAAGTCAGTCTCAACCTTGAATACATCCTGGGAAAATTGATTAAGGGGCCAGAGGGCCGATTAGCAAACAAGACGTTGGAGGAAAACATACCACAGAATACAAAGGGCCATTGGCCAATTTCATTTGACATCCAGGAAACAACAAAATTGCAGAGTTCCTTTTTAAACAAAAAGTACTGAACAAACTATCATGGAATAAATAGATTGTTCCTCAAACACAAAGGCTTCTGCTGCCAATTCAGATTTTATATATTATAGTAGATGTCAGAATTTCAGGCAATATAGACTTTGTGGGTGACTCCAGAACTAGACCTTCCTGGTGCAATTATCCTGCCTTATTCACAGAATTTATGGCCAGTCCAGATTACTCCTGTTCTTCTGTTTTTAACCATGCAAAAGTCCCATCAGACAAGTTAAGACATCACAATTCCTTTCTTGTTTGTAGCATTATACACACCCATACTGGTAATATCAATCATTTCAGAAGAACAGCACTACATTTGGGGAATTCTAGTATACACTGATAGTAGCCAACACGTATTTTGGTGCCTCACATGTTAATCCAGTTTCTGGGTATATTTGATCTGCTGATTCCAAAAATGGCACCAGTTTCACCCTATCCACCCTCTGAAATAAAGAACATATACCATACAGTACATCAGTGACCATCTGCTCACCCATAAAAAACATAAGCTCTAAGAAAGTAGTTGATGCAGTCTATCCAATGTAATTTTCTGAATCACTGCCCCCCAAAAATCCAGAAAAAGGCCTAAAAACCAAGAAACCAATTTTTTTTGTTGGGCTGTGTAATTTATTTTACTTTATATTTACTGGTGACTTTGTCAGCTAGGGATAACTTTAATCAAAGATGTATTTTGGTTGATATATCAGCTACAGCCACTGCTAGCAGGATGGGCCTTCCAGTCTAAGTAATGTTAGCGTATCTGGTATATGTATTCATAAACATGCACCTCACCATATTTCTGTATTATCTTGGCTCTTATTTACTTCTTGGCTCTTATTTACTTCTTGGCTCTTATTTACTTCTATCACAGTTTAAAAGTGTACTAGCAAGCTGGAATGTATCCAGGAGAGAGAGAGACCAATATGCCAATCCTTAAGAACCAGACATTGTTACTTTCTAAATCAGATGTGGGCAAACTTTGGCCCTCTAGGTGTTTTGGACTCCAACTCCCACAATTCCTAACTGCCGATATGCTGCATCTCTCCCAGAGTGGGACCCAAAGCAGCTTACAAAAGAAAGCCATTAACACCTGGCAATATAATTTTAAACACAAAATCACCACATTTTAAATAGTATAGAATATTTTTTTTAAATGTGAAAGAGTTTTTTTAAAAAACAAAGCATACCTTCCAAATAAAAAGCCTTCTTGCTTACACATTAAAAATCTGCTTAACCAAAATATCTTTTATCTGCTGGCAAAAAGAAAGTAGGGAGGACCTTAAGACTCTGCTATGTTTGTATAAGGAGATACTGTCTTTCAAATAGTCTGGACCTAAATTGTATAGGGTCTTATGTGTTATGAACAGCATTTTGAATTGTGACCAGAAACAAAACTAGAAGACAGTAAAGTTGTCTTACCAACTTTTTTTGTGTGTCAGGAGTGACTTGAGAAACTACAAGTCACTTCTGGTGTGAAAGAATGGGCTGTCTGCAAGGACGTTGCCCAGGGGATGCCCGGATGTTTGATGTTTTACCATCCTTGTGGGAAGCTTCTCTCATGTCCCTGCATGGGGAGTTGGAACTGACAGAAGGAGCTCAACCCACTCTCTCTGATTTGAACTGCTGACCTATTGGTCAGCAGTCCTGCCAGCAGAAGGGTTTAACTCATTGCTCCATCGGGGACTCCATCTTACCAACTGAGTTACATGGTCCCGTTAAGCATTCTGGGCCTACTAAAGTTTCCTAATGTCTCCAAAACCAGAGTGTGTTACAGTAGTCCAAATGGGATGCAATGAAGTCAAGTGTCACTGTAGTTAGATCTGACATCTCAAGGAACAGCCATAGCTGTTACACTAGTTTTAATTATGCCAATGCACATTTGTCTTTTGCCAAAATCTTAGCGTCCAGGCTCAGAACTGAGTTCTGGAGACCACCCAAATTGCAATATTTTAGGAGGAGTGTAGCCTCATCCAGCACAGACTGAGTTACTATTCCATGATCTGTGTTTTGATTAGACCAGGAACACCTCTGTTTCATCTGGATTAAGTTTCAGTTTATTTGCCCTCATCCAGTTAATTACTAATAGCTTATATTTTTCTTCTTCCGTATTTTTTTCTTCTTCTGCTTTAAAAGTGGCCAATATAGCCCACAGCTGCCTACAGCCTTTCAGAAGTTAGTCTAAGAATATCTAAGCCACCAAACTTCAAGATGTTTTACACAAACAGTTAAATACCCTACCCATTCTCAGGTCTACTTGGTCTCAGAAACATATAAAGGTTCAAAGGCAACAATGATCTAACCTTCCCAAACTTACTTGCATTTCAGCCCAGACAACCTGAAAACTATAGTTAGCAACTATCTCCAATTTATGCCTTCATATTTATGCAACTTATGCAATTTGCATTACATGACACATAAGTGTTTCATATAAAGTTTTGAAAATGCATCTGTTGAACTCTAGAGGACATAAACATTGTTTCTTGTGTTGACAAGGAAAGGTTACAAACTAAATAATTCACAGGGTGTTGTCCTCTGTAACTCAATGCCTCTTCTAAATTGGTTCCATTTGTTAATTGCCCAGATGACACTGCCAAGCAGTTTTTCACTATCCTCTCCAAAGATATAATTAATTCTGTCACTTTCTTGCCCTGTGTGTGGGTGTGGGACTATGTGGTTTGTTTACCACACACGTATCATTTTTTTTTTTGTATTTATAAGTGGGTCAGTATATCAAGACAAAGATAAACCGATAAAAGGAACAGTCTATTTTAGTTTCAAAATCAACATTTAGATTCTACGTAACATACATCAGTTGTTTGGCTGATTATGCATTTCATATCCCAAAATGTACATACAACAATAATATGGAAGGCAACACTTTTATTGATACCAGAACAGTTTGTCACTCCCATGTCCTGGTGATTAGACAAGTGATAAGAGAAATATACACACAGGGTTCCTGTCAGTTGAATGGGTCAATCACAGGTGCTGAGGACATCATATGGTTCATGTCAACAAGGGTTTCTCACCTCTAATAATCTATATTGAAAGATAAAGGCTCTTCAAGGTTGAGGATGGTTCTTTCCCATCCCATAATAGAAATGGCAGGGTATAGAAATGGGATCTTTTATATATTAACCATTATCAACAGAGATACTGAGTGCAAACAGCTCTAAATATCTCAAACTTGCTGATGGAGAACATTACAACTAAAATAGGACGCTTTGATTGCAACATTCATTTGCTTTCCCTATGTTCCTTGAAGTCTTACACATAACTAAAGCTGCACACATGGCACAAAGCCCTAAAGCATTGCTTCTTAAACTGTGAGTCCTGACCCCAAATGGGATCCCCTTGAATCAATGTTGAGGTCACGAATAATTTGTCAGCAGTAAACCTAGTAGCTGTTTTAGACATTTACACAAATTTGCTAGCAACATAATGCACTGTTAACAGTGAACTCTGCAGAAAATGCTTCAGCTGTACTTCATAATAGGAAAAATCAGCCTGTTTAGCAAGTCTTGCAAAAGTTGATTTATTATCAGAACTTTGATTTTTATATCTATTTTTACAAGTACCTATTTTATGGAGCCCCCAATGGTGCAGCA